GTTGAAATATGGACATAACATAAGCCATAAAATAAATAAATAATACATATAGAATAAAAATCTTAATTAAAATAAATAAAAAGATGAATGATAAAAAAAGCAATGTATATAATTGGAAAAAAATAAATTAGAATGATTGTCGAAACCTCAATTTAAAATTTTTAAAATATACACAACCATGTAAAAATAAAATAAAAATAAAATCTATAGGAATACTTATTTTATCAAGAAAAATTTCAAAAAATGCCACTTTTCAAGTGCCACTTTACAAAAATGCAACACTTTTGAAATCTTTACAAAAATGCCATTTTTCAAAATTATTTTTTTTTTYTTTATWTWWTTTATGTTTGGGTTAATTATTTTCTATTAGGGTTTAGTTATGAGGGTTTAGGGGGGTTTAGGGGTCAAAACATTTTTTAGTGTTTAGAATTTTAAGAAATAGGGTTTAAAAATCTATAATTAGTGGCATTTTTGCAAATGAACACCCCTAAGTGGCATTTTTGCAAATATGCACATAAAAAATGGTATTTTTTTATCAATATAGAGTTATAAAATATCACAAAAAATAGAAATTTTTGATCTACGACGTCATTGTACTCTTCAAGTGTATATATTAAAAATTTATATAAGTTAAAAATAATAATATTATATCTACTATTAAGTTAATATTATATTAAGTTGGCGAGTATAAATCTCTATGAGAAAGAAAACGATGACATTAATAAAATACAATTATCAATCATGTATTTATGTGATGTTCACAACATTATTTATAGTTTTTATTAGGTTACTAACATAAAATTTTTTTTTTTCTGATTTAATTATATTTTCTGATTTGCATGATATATATTAGAACATGAGAATTATAATATAAATTGATTTTTAATGGTTTTAAGATCCACGTTATATATTATCTTAAAATTTAACGGATTATTAATTAAAATTTCAATATTTATTTCATTAATTTTTATAGTATTTACCTGCGTATTAACGCGGGTCTTATTCTAGTTTTGAATAAAACAAAAAAGGTTTACACTTGTGTTCGATCCACTCAAACAATCACGGCTGGAAACCACACAAAAGATTGAAAACAGAAAGTCGATAACGTATAAATGTATATTTTCCTCATTTCTTATAAATTTAATTTTCAATCTCACATAATCTGATTTTCTATTTAAATTATAGCTTCTGAAGGAGGGGTTATTTTTATGTGATATTAGAGAGAGATGAAGTTTTTCTTTTTTTTTTTGCTAAATAGAGATATGAAGTTAGCTGTAATGAACTTTGGGTGATCTAACTTTGGGTGATCTAATTTGACAAACTCTATGAAATATATCCCATAAACCTCTATCATGTGTTGTATATTTTGCACGTTTAGAGAAATAGAAAAAGATATGGGAATACGACCAATTTTCCCAAAAACTATTTTATGTTTGCATTGTTGAAGATGTCTTTAGAATTTTATTTATAAAATAAGACTGTTGATAGTCTTTTTTGTTTGGTATGGGAAAAGAAGTAAATACATCAATACTTTGAGCTCTATATATATGTTAAATCATCTTATCGTCACCCAGACGTAGTTAAGGAAAACACATACAATATTTTATGTAATTTGTATGTTAATTGGAATCGTCAACGTTAATTAGTTCAAGTCGCAATTAAAGGAAATAATAAGTAATTTCTTCCACCTGAAAAAGCATTGACCTTGCTAGTCAAACGTTCTTCCACTAAACAAAGTCCAATGCATGTCCTAATAAAATCGTCTTATTGATTTGGTTTCTCACTGCCATTTTCAAACATTTACGGCCGCACGTTACTTTTCTACTCCTTGTAAAAGAAATGTACCATTGTGTGCTAAAATTAATGAATGTTAAGTCAATAATCATTCTTCTTTACCATCAATATTTTAAAGAAAGGTGACTAAAATTTCGAATTTTCGGCAGTTTGGCACCATCTTTCACATATCTCTCCCTCCTATAAATAGACAATCTCTGAATTCCCAAGAAAACCATCACAATCACTTATAATCAAATAACTATCAAATTCACATTAATAAGCGATGGTGCAATCTCGTATTCTTTCCCTTGTTTTAGTCCTTGTGACCATTGCCTCCATATTTTCCACATTTGCTGAAGCCAATAGAGGTTTTGGCTGGGGTTGGGGCACGGGCTCCAACCATTCAAGT